CCGCAAAATCTAGACTTTCCTTTTTCAATTTAAATTTTAACTGTAGTATATGGAAAGCCTGGGGTTAGGTATAGACAGATTTTGAAATGTACTGAGTCAGCGTCAGACATTAAGGAAAAGTTGCATGGTGAAATTAGAAGCATGTTGCTTTATCTGGATAGTTTTCATCACACCTTGGAAGGCTGAGAGATGTATTTCTCTTCCCTTTCTACTCTCTTTACATCCTTTCTGAGCAAGTAACTGTCAGGAAGCATCCTGCCCTCTGGAGATGCGCTTGCCTTCTGAATACCCCAAAACCCAGGCATTTTTCTGTTACAGATGGCTGACCATGCTCCTAATGCCCTGCTTGCCCTGTGTTATGTTGGTACTGACTTTTAGCACTGTGAGTCAGTGAAAATTGTGCTGCTGTAGATGGTCTTCCTCTTCGTTGCTCCCAGCCAGGGGCATTGGAAGGAGCAGAGCAAGGCAGAATGGCTTTGGCTCTAGAGTTCCTGGTCTAGAGAGGGAGCTGAAGAAGTGAAACTACTTATAATAATAAAAAAGACACTCTGAGCCTTCCACTATAATGTGTAGCAAATCTTAGCACAGGACTTGCTAGTAGTCTCTGCAGATTTAAAGACAATCCCCCTCTTCCCTGGTTCTGAGTAAGTTGAGCTACTCCAAATATTCTAGTGCCTGGTTACAGTAATTGCTTGTCGCATGTCTTCGTGGCCTTTTCCTACGGCAAAAATCTGACTTTCATTGACCTTTTAATTAGATCTGGAGCTCTGGCGAAGTTCTGAAACAGGGTGAGTAATGCCTGAGAAAATGTCCTCCTGCCTGCTGCCATTTAAAAAGAAGCGAAGAGAAAGATGTACCACACCTGTGCTTAAAGTAGCTGTTGCTATCTGAACTCTTGAAATTGAAAAACAGCTCGGGGTATTTATATGCATGGCATTGCAGCCTTGAGCCATCAAAAAAAAAAAAAAAAAAAGTCAGGTGCAGTTCTGTAGCACCGTAAGCTGATTTAATGCCCCATCCCCTTAGTCTTATATTTCCCAGTTTATGGTCTTGACCTGGCTGAGAACGGAAGCATGAGGAAAAGGGTAATTGTCATCTGACTCTGCTCCCTTGCCCAGCTTTCCGTGCAGCTGCCTGGGTGTTAGCACCAAGGCTGGCCACCTCTGCAGCAACTAGACTGCACAAAGGCCATTGCATGGGCATCCATCGCACCTTGCTCTCTGCTACTTAAGACGATGGTCTCTGAAAAAGAGCTGTGCTCCTTTACCCTTCTGGCTTGCGCTGGTGTAGCAGCTTCTCCTGACCCTTCAGTGATGATGATTCAATTTGTTAAAACTACAGGATGATAGTTACATTATGTGTCTTGGTAGGTCGGGTTTCTGCTGGTTTAGTGAGCAGAATCTGGTCAGTGAGGTGAGACCAGCTGAATTTGTTAGAGCTGATACAAGGAGGAGAGCAGATCTGTGAAACTGCCCCTCTGGTCACAGCGATCCACTTCAGTTGCGTCGTTGAACTACATCTTTACTTCACTCTAAATTTATAAGTAAAGGGGTACCTCGTAAGGTGGATTTCTCTCCTGTCACTGTAAGTACATTTGTGTAGGGTGCTTTGTCAAGAAAAGCTTATTAATAGAAACCTCTAACCTTTAAAATAAAGGAGGTGGCACATGGCACTGATGTAAAGTATGAATTCTTCTGTTACATAATGCATGTATTAAGTTTTTAGTAACTCTAGCGAACATCTTGCATATATCTGGGGAAAGCAAAAGGTGTGCATTTACTGTAAGTAATTGATAAAAGTTATGCTGCTTGTCTTGTTAAGTTTTACTTTTAAGATGAAATAAAGCATGCACTCAGAAAACTAGAACTTTGCTCATACGTTGATGATGTAAGTGGTGGCTTCTTAATTAATGTAAGTGTATGTAAGCTTATATCAGCACAGTGTGGTCATCAGAATGGAATTGTTTTATTTCTTAGCAGGGTGTGCAAGAGGTGCTGGGTCTGATGAAATTTAGATTCATTCATATGTTTTCTTAATCTCTACTTTGAAACTATCTGAAAAATAAGTGACAATATCAAAAGGTTTTTCTAAGCAGTCATAATTCTTAAACTATTCTACAAAAAAATATTAACTCTGCTTTTTAGGTTATTCATCATGCAGTAAAATAAGTGGATTTTAGCAATATTTACAACTTTGTTATGGAATGAAAGAAATTGAATCATTGAAATTTTACTGTTTGGAATTAGTGATTCATGTAGAAGCCTGAAACAATTTTTTCCGTTACTGATGTGCTTCAACATGTGATTGCCATTTACTGTGGCTTAAATGGCCTCTCCAACACCTGCAAAATCTGGCCCTGGACTAAGAGTACAGAGAAAATCAGGTACAAATAAAGCTATATTAAACAGAGATTGTATTCTGTGGTGTTCATTGCCAGCCATTTCTTACAGTGTTTTGACATGCATCTTGGAAGATCCTGTCCTAATGTGCTGCAGGTTGGCTAGAAATAGACTCTTGCGTAGCACTTCCATGCTCACTGCAGTCCGATGCAGATCCACATCAATTCCAAAAAAGGCCATTTTGCCCTTTTCCAGCCTCATCCTGCTGCCTGCCTTGGGCAGCTGTATGTGAGTCACATTGGGTGAATGGTTTGGTGGGAGGAGATGGG